TGGTAGGTAATTAGTGTCCTTGTTAAGACCTTCCTTCCCCCCAGTGCTTTTCGCCAGCTGGTGATCCTGCTGATCCATGCCTCCTCTTCCCTCACAAAGCATTCCGCCCACTGTGGATCAGCTGTTCTGTGGAGAGCAGGGGGAAGAAGCGAGGATGGGAAGTGCTCAGGGGAGAGGGTGGAGAGAGGCAAGAAGAAGTGGGGCAGGGTGCGGTGGGGGAAAGGAGACGCAGGGCTTTGGGGAAAGGGGATGTAGTGGGGGCAAGGCCTGAGGTGGAGCCAGTGGAGCATTCCCCAGGACTTTAGAAAGTCATCACACATGGGTCATTATTCAACTTGCAGAATGTCAGCCATGTTTTATTATTAGTATGGATCATGTCTGTTCCTTTTGATCAGTTCTTTCCTTCTCTGTTGCCCTTCTTCTTGAAGCTTGTTATTGGTCAAGATTTCCATGTCATTTTGTTCTGAAATAGATGTTGTGCAGACAAGGAGCACCAGTTTCAGAAACAAAGGACTACAATATTTCTTATGCTGCCTTTTGATAAGTAATCTCATCCCAGGAACCCAAGGCCTATTGTTATTAGCCCCTACTTATCTATAGGAGACTATGGGTCTGTCTCCCAGAGCCTCTCGGAGTTTACTATCCTGTTTTAGCATAAATAAAAGTTCTGAAGTCTCCCTCTGTAATCTGGTGTTAAAGTCAGTTTGAAGTAAGACACATGTTGTCAGGTCTTTAAGGGAATGGCCAGATTGATTGAAGTGTTGACTAACATGTTTCTCTGTATGGAGATGTCTGATTTGTGACCACTGATTCTCTGGTGAAGTGACTGACCAGTTTGTCCAATATACATCGCAGAGGCACATTTCTGGCACATGATGGCATATATTACAAAATTTAAGGATCACTAACCTGCCAATGTTCATGAAAAAACCTCTTGATTAATAAAATTACTACTAACACTATTTTTATTTAGTTATTATTTACTAGACAATTTACCTAGCCTTGCTTGGTTCTTAACTCAAATGATTTTTGTTCTCTGGAAAATAAAATTAAAATGTACATGCTTCATTTAAATCACTGCTCTAAAGTGGGATTGTGGATAAGGAGTTCACTATACAGGCTGCCCCAGGGAGAGAAGACTACAGCAGCCCTTTTGCTGCAGCAGCTTGGGGCCAGGTGAGAAGTAGGGATGTTAATGGGTAAGCAGGTAACGGGTCACCATACCAAGTGATGCTTACAGGTAATCAGTCAACCAGCAGCCGGGTCAGGGCTGGAGCAGCGCACCCATGCCATGGACAGGTAGCGCTCCAGTCCAGTCTGAGCAGCTCTGCTCCCCTTCCCATTCTCCCCCTCCGCTGTACAGGACTTGCCACACAGGACAGGACAGGCACGCCATAGGTGGGGGGCGGATGACCTTCACCAAGGCACTTCAGACACTCTGTATGAATGTCACTCTTTGGCATAAGTTTGCCACAAGCCTGGCAAGCTTTAAACCCTGGGGACTAAGGCATGCTCTGGTTCAGAGAAAAGAGGAAAAAAAGTGAGGGAGAAAATTATCCTCCTATTAACAACTAATAACATACTAACTACCAGCTAGAACAGTGGTCATCAACCAGTTGATTGGAATCTACTTACTGACAGATCTTGGAGCCTCTGACAGGTGATCCTGACCGGTTTGGCTGGGAAGCTACAAAGTGCTGGCACTTCAGTTATGCCTCCACCCACTGTCATGCTGCTCCTACCTTGGAGCTGCCTCCTGAGAGCCTCCTGCTTGCTGTGTGGGAAGAAGGGGAGCACTGATGTCAGGGTGTCCCTCCTCCCCCCATTCCCGTACACTATATCCACACAGAGAGAAGGGGATGGAGGGAGCCTGGCAATGCAAATCTGTCACACACCCACTGCGTGTGCGACTGTCATTCTCACAAACATGCACTGTCCGTCACTCTCCATTCCCGGTTCCAACACATATGTGGGGGATGGTTGTTACTTCTACTGCTTGCAAAGTGTGTTACTTTGGGGTTTTGACTGGTCTGTGCATTTCATCATTTTCATCTCTCTCTTACTCTTATATTTAATTCTATGAGTAGTGAGTTCTAAAATTCCTAACCTGCCATGGCTGGAGTCATTATCCCCATGACAATTCCTGCTCACAGATATGGCTGGCATATCCCTACAGCCCCTGAGAAAGGCAGTGCAGGTGGTCTCCACATGCTGTCCTTGCTTGCAGACACCACTCCTGCAGCTCCATTGATTAGTAATGGGGACCCATGGCCAGTAGAAGCTGTGGGCTCAGTGCCTGTAGGTGAGGGGCAGCTCGTGGTGCCATGGAGTCATTGATGTACGTCAGCTGCTTTCAGGAATGGAGCAGGGCCAGGGCCAGGGCCAGGAATAAGCCTGCCTTAACCCCACTGCTCCATCATCTGGTAGCCATCTCAGTTAAACGGTGCCCAGCCAGAGCCTTATTCCTAAACCCCTGTCCCAGCCCTGAACCGCCTCCTGCCCTCAACTTCCTGCCCAGACATGTGTCCCCCTGCATCCAAACTCCTTCCCAGAGCTTGCACCCTGAAACCCCTCCTAGACCCCAAACCCTCACCCGGGGCTAAGCCCAGAGCCCCTCTCACACACAGAACCCCCTGACCTAAGGCCAGAGCCTGCACTCCCTACTCCAGACTGGTAAAAGTGAGTGAGGATGGGGGAAAAAAGGGGATCGAGTGAGCAGGGATGGGGCCTCAGAGAAGGAGTGAGGCAGAGGCGGGGCCTCAGAGAAGAGGTGGATCAGGAAGGAAGTGGGGCAAGGGTATTTGGGTAGATCTTACATTGCATTTAAATTGAAAAAAAGATCTTGTGGTTAAAAAGGTTGGCGAACACTGAACTAGAACTTTACTAAAATTATGAACTCTAACCACTAAATGCTGCTAGGAATGCTTGCAATAGCAAAAGCGAGAAGTTCCAGCTGCTGTCACCAGGTGGCAAGAAGGAACTGGGGGGTCGGCAGGTCAGCAAGACTATATCCTGGGCGCCATATCGGCACCACTCTAGGAGGCACCTAAGCTGATCCTACTGTTGCTGCTAAGCAAAAATCTTCTGGCACATGAACAAGCACTCGAAGAAAAATGATTCCGCTAGTTATGAAGATCATTTTACCATAAGTCCAACGTTTTGATCAGTGCTTCCACTTTCTCTTCAACTTTAAATATAATTACAGCTGCCCCCAAAAGCTCAAATTTAGTCCATCCAAACAGGTGGAAATATCAGCTAAGCATGCTACCAATAAGCATGTGGGGGGGGGGGGGAAATCACTGAAATGCCTCTTTAGTGAAAAGGTTTCATCTATGAAAAAATATTTGAATTTTATCACACAACTCAAACAAGCAGTTGAGTGCTGTCCCATGAGACAACCAGCACACTTTTGAAAGTAAAAGAAGCTGTGTATGATCACTATCTGTAGCACTCCAAAATGCATTAAAGGTGCAGGAATTAAATAGGCA